GCAGTTAGGCCTGGATTCTCCCCCAGCCCTCAGACAAGGAAAAAAAAAAAAATCCAGTAAGAGAAATTTTCCTACAAAGGCAGAGTAGGCCAGTGAGCTCACAGGTCTAGGACCCAAATGCCAGCCAGTGAGTCTGTCACGACTTCATTTCTTCTTTTGTTCATTTAGGACAGAGGCTCTCAAACTTTCTAAATTCATGGAATATTTTTAGTGTTTTTTTTCCCATGGTATTCTAGGTCAAAAGAAATATTTATCTGGGTGCAGTGCACGCTTGTAGTCCCAGCTACAAGGAAGGCTGAGACAGGAGGATTGCAAGTTCAAGGGCAGACTGGGCCACATGGCAAGATACTGTCTCGAATAAAAATAAATAAATAGAAATAAAAGGAGCTGGGAATGTCAGTGGCAGAAACCACTAGGTTTAATCCCCAGCACTAAGGGCTGTGGCTGTGGCTCAGAGATAGAGCCCTTGCCTGGATGTGTGAGGCCCTGAGTTTAACTCTCAAAACCACCACAGAAAGAAAGAAGACTGGGAGAATCGATCCCTAGCACTGCGAAAAATTTTTATTTCATTTCTTTTTTTTATTTTTTAAGTTTCATTCTGGGCTGGGGATTTAGCTCAGTGGTTCTGTTGCCTGTCTTGGAAGCACAAGGCCTGGAGTTCAATTCCCCATACCAAAAAAAAAAAAAAGAAAAGAAAAGAAAGAAAGAAAGAAAAGAAAATCCCTAGAAATGATGTGTGATTCTAGCAGGATGAATCAGACTCAGCAGGAAGTTTGAAAATTGTACAAAGTGATGCTTCCAGGCATATTGTAGAGTGATGTTTTATCTTACACCACCAATTCCTGGCACTGCCACCTGGCCCCTCCATCTCATGGTGCTGTGGTGTCCTGGCCAGGAAACCCAGCTCTGGGGCCACCCAAGGAACTAGAAACTCTAAAGTGAAGCTGTCTTCCTTCCAGCAAGACTTAAGTGGTGGAGCCTGGTGCCAGCCCTAGAGTAGGCCAGCCCCACGGGGACGTCCACACAAAACAGACATTGGCCTGTACTTCCAGCACAGAGCAACAGACTTGGAGAGTGGCCGTGATGACAGAGGACATCGTCCCCACACTGTCCCCTGCATCCGGAACTCCAGGCGAGGTGGCTCAGCCTGCGATGCCCAGAGAGAGGGTGCAATGCTTCAGTATTTGTCCCGCCTGGGCTGTGTCCCTGCAGATGGGAAGGTAGTTACTCTGTTCACCCAACCGCTTACGTCAACCCCAGAGCCCAGCATGGACAGGGTTTGGCAAAACTTTCCTGAACTGTTAACATTTGCAGAATTCAGGGCTCTGGTGAGTCCTCAAAAGCCTCGCAGATTTCCAGGCAGAAGTGAAAAGGGGAGAGGGCACTGTGCAGCTTTTGGGTTTTGAATTCAGAAAGGAAGGAAGGAATTTGGGGGATTTCGAGGTCCAGGATCGCGAAGGAGAACAAAGTGGATGTCCCAAGTGCAGACCGGAAAGGTGAGCCGGCCTAGCTGGCCTAGAGGCCTGTAGCACTAAAGCCGTTGCCCAGGAAACGGAAGGAGGCAGAGCCAAATTTTGAGAGGCAGGCACTACAGCAGGGGGCGGGACTTCTCTCAGGCTGCGGCCCAGGGGGCGTGGCTTGCCTGTGACTGATAGGATCCGGGGCAGGGTTTGAAGCTGACTGGCACAATTGGAAGGAAAAGGGGCTTTGTTTTGACCCATAAAGTAGGGGTCTAGACTGGTCTGACCTGCACCACCCCAACACACACAGGATCGGAGCTGAAGCTGGCCCACAGACCCGCTAGGGTGCTAGCAAAGGAGCAGGGCCCTCCCTACAGCCAAACAGGGCCAGGGCTCCAGGACCCAAGCTTTTCCTCCTTACAACATGGCAGGAACAGTGTGGAGCTGTGGAGCGAGGGGAGCTCGGTGAAGGAGAAGGCTGAGCCACAGAAGAGGGCAGGCTCCACTAGGAAAAAGGCCGTGAGAGAGAGCTGCCCAAATGCTGACTGCTGCGGGAAAGTGCAGGGCGTGGAGGCGGGCTACAGTGTACCTGTCTAGAGTCTGTCCCCAGAGCTTGTGAAGTGCCTTGTTGCTACCTCTGAGAAGCTGGTGGAGTCCTTGCAGGAAAGATGACAGGAAAGGTAGCTGGCCCGCTGAGCCCCGCCAGCTTTCTCTCTGACATGGCTTAGCATTATCTTCAGAACATAGGTCATTCTGTTATAAAACAACCTGGTTTTTTGTTTGTTTTTTGTACCAGAGACTGAACTCTGGCCCTTGAGCTTGCAAGGTAGGTGGCAGAACCACTGAGCTAAATCCCTGGCCCCCTAAAACAATCTGGTTTTGTTTTGCAGATTCCTGCACCTTACTGCACAAAGGGGTTCACCTCACATGGATTCTGAGGAAAGTGAAAGGCCTCTTTCAAGAGGTTCCCAAAAGCCAGCACTTCACCGCAGAAAAGGCTTCAGCACTGACCAGAGCTCCAGGGTGATGGTGCAGGTACTGGCCAGACTGGCAGGACAGGATGGGACTAAGGCTGGTCCGCTGAGTGTTGTCCCACATTCAGTCAAGTGTGTGAATCTTATACGCAAGCTGTACACCCTTGGGTTTGGAAAGCTTTAGTAAAAGGTTTGTGTATAGCTGTGGATGGATTGGTTTTGCTCTTCTGTAGACAAACTAGATCCAGGGATGACTCCCTGGAGTGACAAAGGGACTGGAAAAGTGACCACAGGCCTAGCAGGCAGCTGGCCACGGACAGCGGGTACAGTGGCTTCAGAGTCCCAGGCTTCAGTTCATACCCGGCTGCCTCACCTAGTGGTGAAACTGTGGGCAGTTCTTAATGTTAGGTTCCCAAAAGCCAGCACTTCACCGCAGAAAAGGCTTCAGCACTGACCAGAGCTCCAGGGTGATGGTGCAGGTACTGGCCAGACTGGCAGGACAGGATGGGACTAAGGCTGGTCCGCTGAGTGTTGTCCCACATTCAGTCAAGTGTGTGAATCTTATACGCAAGCTGTACACCCTTGGGTTTGGAAAGCTTTAGTAAAAGGTTTGTGTATAGCTGTGGATGGATTGGTTTTGCTCTTCTGTAGACAAACTAGATCCAGGGATGACTCCCTGGAGTGACAAAGGGACTGGAAAAGTGACCACAGGCCTAGCAGGCAGCTGGCCACGGACAGCGGGTACAGTGGCTTCAGAGTCCCAGGCTTCAGTTCATACCCGGCTGCCTCACCTAGTGGTGAAACTGTGGGCAGCTTTCTTAATGTTCCAAGCTAGTGTCTTTGCTAAGAATGGGTGTGACCTGCAAGGCGTGGTGGCACAACCTGGAGTCCCAGTTACTTGAGAGGCTGAGACAGGAGGGTCACAAGTTCAAGGCAGCTTGGGCAATTTAGAGAGACCTTGACTCAAAGTTTCAAAGGCTAGGGATGTAGCTCAGTGCTCCTTGGGTTTGGTCCCAGTACTGGGGGAACAGGAATGGGCATAGCATGTCTGCCTCACAGGTGTGGTTATGAAGATCAAGAAGGAATGGGCTGAAAGCACTCAGCTCCTCTGAGCCTGGCACCACAGCAGGACTTGGGGAGATTGGCCTGTGTCAGCTCTGACTCCCCAGTAAGTAAACTTCTGCTCACCCCAAGACGAGCACATGACCCCAGCCAAGATTCCCTTAGGCTGCTGGAGAACCGCACAACCCTAACATCTCTCTCCACCACCTAGTCAAGCGTTGGGCTGAAAAGGACAGATGGGGGTTATTTCCCTGCAGGAAAGGGGGCACAGAGTTTATTATATTCTCATCTGTGTTACTGCCTTGTGTTTATCAAAGCTAAGATTTAAGGAAACAGGACAGGCAGCTATAAACTGGTGAATAGTAGCTCTCCCCAGCTGTACACAGGAATGAACTTTTGATCTCATAAAAAACAAAACAAAAACAAAGGAGGCTGCAGAATATGGAAGGAGTAGAGGACCCTGGGCGGTGGGAGGGTAACTGTCGGGGTCTGGCAGGCCTGTTTCTCTGGCAAACGGATGATTGATGGGGTGGGAGGGTGTTGGTCCGCTAGAGCTGCTCTCTGGTGGCGCTGGCCAGTCCTTGGCCTGATCCCTCCCTCCATCCTGGGGACCACAGGTCCCAGGCCATTTGCCTGCAGGAAACCAAAGTGCCCAGAGCCTGAACCATGGTAACTGTAACCCGTCAGTCCCCTAAAGACGGGAATGAAAGCAGGACTCTGGAAACAAATAAAAGGAGCCAGAGGCAAGACGGATCTCTTAAGCTCAGAGCACCCTCTGCTGGGGAAGGAGGCTCCCACAGACAGGAGCTTGGGGTTTTGGAGAGCTGCAGGCAGCAGACGTCCTCCTGGGCATCAGGGAGTGGAACCCAATAAAGATCAATAATAGACAGGTGCACAGTTTATTGACTAACCGTGTCACGGAAGCTGTTATCATTAAGGGCAGTGCATTAGAAAGCAGGAAAGTGATCTCAGAGGATCCCAAGGGCCCTCTGCTCTGTCCCACTCAACTCTTATTCAGCCAGAGGGCATGGAAATGGAGTCATGATCATCTCTAACTCTGTACTCTGGATTCACCAACACCCACTCATGCTAAATCCCATCTTCCATTTGGCCCATCCACTGAGGCCTGGGTCCTCCACTTAGAGATGATGGCAGGAGAGAAGAAACAAACCTCAGGAAAGCAGGGAGCCTGGGGCTGGGCCTGGTGTAGCGTACTTGCCTAGCATATGCAAAGCCCTGGCTTCTGTCCCTAGCACACGCGGGACCTGTGGGGTTAAGCACCTTTCCCGCATGTGTCCCTCTGAGAGGCATGTGGCGATAGTTCCTGAGGGAAATGCTTGTTCTGCCTGTGTGGCTTTCTGGCTGGGAGAGAAGCTGGGCTTGTTGGATTTCTGGTTGTGGTCATAACGTCCGAGCAGACCAGGAATTTCTACGGTTATGCTTAAAGCTAAAGATACCCACATGGCAGTGTGAAGGGCTTGAGGGGGTGGCTCCTTTGTTCTGGTACAGAAAATGGAGCCACTCCAGGGAGTGGGAGTGCCACCAGGGGGCGCACAGGCCCCCCTGCCTCCTTGGTCCCTACAAGGCTTCCTCTGCCAGCCCAGGTCATGAGCCACTTTTGGAAGCTAGGTTATCAGAAACCCGAATGATTCAGCCCAGGTTGGTCTACTTCTTTCCTAGGGTTTTTCCTGTGTCCAGAGGGGCACAGAGCTATTGGAAGCGACTTGGCCAGTGGAATGGTGTAGGGACGGATGTCTCACCTATACCCTGGCTTGCTGGTAGCCGGGAAGGAGACTGAGGAGGGAAGCCAGACATCAGGACCATCCCAGGATGGCAGGTCTGCTCTTAGCTTCCAGGACCAATTATAAAAACACATACATGTATCATGTATGTAGGTAGGTAGCACAGGAGGGACTACTCTGCTCTTTGAAACCAGATAAGAGAGAGAAAGGCGTGTAAGTGTGCCTCATCCTGGCGACTGATCTACCAAGTACCAGACAGATGGGCAAACGGCAGAGACAGCAAGGTGAGCCTAAAGCAGCCGCCCAGGGAGGTGAGGGAGGCATTGGCCCTCCTCAAAGCCCCTTGTTGTAGTAAACCACCTCGATGCTGGGGTTTTGCTCATGGATCTGGGCTCTCAGCTCTGGCTCCAGCCTGCTCACGTGTATGGAGCTGCAACAGAAGAGCAGAGCTGGATTCCCCTGGACCCACCCCTCCTCCCAAGCTGAAGAATCCTCTCCTGCTTCCAGAAGGCTGGCCTGCCGCACTCCCCCACCCCCAGATCCTCCAGTGCCGGCCAGGCCTCCCCAGAACACAGCACAGGCCTGAGGGTCAGTCAGTCCCGAGGCAGGCACCCCAGACAGAGCAGCCCTCCCCGCCGGGCAGCACTCACCTCCTCTGGGGGAACAGGGCACAGCACAGAGGGGTGGCAAACACCAGGCTGAGGGAGAAGCGTGTTAGAAAGGTTGTGAAACTCTGGCCTAAAGTGTTTCCTCCCGGCACCCACCCCACAGGGGTACCGGCTCCTGGGATTGACACTGAACTTTCTCTTTTATGGTGCTCGGATGGAAGCCAGAGTCTCAGCACCAAGCCAATGCTCGGCGCTACCTCCCAGCCCTGGGGTGCAGACTGACTGAAGCCCAAGAGAACTCTTGGGAACATGGAACCCAGCCTAGACTGAGGGTCTGGCTGAGAAAAGAGCCTCCAAAGCCCTTATCCAGAGGCCCAGGCCAGAAATGGGAAGAATCAGGAAATAAATGAGAGGGAGGCTCCTGGATGGTACCAAAGGGACATTTCCATGGTTTTCTGGTGGACGAGGACTGGAACTCTTCAACTAAACTTGACCTTTAGGGTCAGGGGTCACCCGCCCTTACCACGTGCTGTATGCCTTATACCCACAGAAGGTTTGAGGGGATTACCTATATAATCACCTCAAAGGCACTAAATACCTGCCCACATGCACCATGGAGAGGGCACTCCCTGTGCCCCCACCCGGCCCCTTGCTCACTTACCAGAAGCCCACCAGCCCCACCTGCAAGGGTGCCCCAAGCCAAGGACGGCGCTGTGGGAGACAGAGAGACATGGGAGGGCTCGTGCCCCTAACCTCCTGGCTCGTCTCGCCCTGTCCACATGGCCCATTGCCACCCACCCTGAGCCTTGGGACCCATGGCCCCTTGCTGTCTTCCAAGCTCATGACCAGCTGGGCCCTCCAGCCAGGCCTACAGTATTTCCGGGCATCCCTACACATTCTCACCCAATAGAGCTGATTCCCATGGCACTCCCTGACCCTTTCTCTTCCCTCACTTCCTGCAGGAGTTGCTTTCTGCAGGAAGCTGCCTCTGAACTGCCACTTTCTGCCTCTCATGCGAGCTGCATGAATCTGTCCCTTTCCAAACACATCTGCTTGGCACACACTTTATTCACTCTAACCATAAGAACAACCATTTTGTTCCTCAAATGTGCAAGCCTGTTGCCTCAGGACCTTTGCACTAGATACTTTCTCTACCTGAAACACTCTTCTCTGGCCCTTTGCCTGGTTGTCTCCTTTTCATTCTCTGGGACTATAAAGACCTCCTTCTCTGACAAAACTATCCAAGCTCCTCTCCCCTACTGGTTTCCTACAAAGTATGTATCTCCACTCATAATGCTGTATTTATTGGTTTCTTCTTTGTTCATTGGTTCTGTACTAGACTATAAACTTCATGAGGACAGGGACTACAACTTTCTTGTTCTGTGCTGTCTTCACAGCCTGAGCTTGTGCTCCTGCACCTCGCTTCCCTGTCCCATGTGCGTGTGTGTGGTGCGGTGACACCGAGGGGCAGCACGATGCTCTGAAGCGAAGTGGTGACTGCGCATCGCTGTCAGAGCCCTCTGCCGTGATACCAGGTCCTGGAGAACAGAGGCTGGGCCCCTCCTCTTGTCTTCTCCCCTGCTCCCTCGGTGCCCTCCTCTGCAGTCTGCAGCCCAGTTCATTCTTACTGAGTGAACGAAGGCGCAAGGCTAGGAGGACTGAAGTCTTAGACTCTGCCAGGCTGGGAGCGGGCTCGGGACCTGTCACTTCTCACCAACCCCAGGACCTCCAGGAAGGGGAAAGTGAATCACCCACCTTCAGGAAGTCTTTCTTCTCCAAAGTGTCCATGATCACTGGGGGGATGGCTGAGGGGAGAGCAAGGCAGAAGAGGAGATGTGAAGTCGCAAGCCCAGCAGAGGGAATGCCCCTTCTCAGCTCCTCTCCCCAGAGCCCCCCTGCCTGACTGCAGGAGCCCTCTCCCCTCCCGCCTCCCATGCCCCTCCAGCCGCTCTGCCTCACCCATGGCAGGGATTGCCATCCCGATCCTTGATATCACCACCTGGAAGATGCCCTGCTGGGCAGCGGTGACCGAGGGGCCCAGCCTCTGCCCCACCTCGTCAGTCACTGGGATACCCACCTGCAGCTCCCTAGAAGAGAAGGCTGGGGTCAGACTACAGCCCCAAGCGCATCCTGCAAAGCCTGAGTGAGCAGTTCCTCCCCAGTCCTTCATACCAACGGCTGGTTCTCCCACCCCGAATCCTAGGTGTAGGGACTCAGCCTGACCTACCGCAGCCACCCTGAGCTGTGGCCACCATGACTACCCCAAGGAAGCCGCTCCGTTTTCCCTGCAGCTTCCCCAGAAGACCATGTGTACAAGCAGAGAGGGGTGTGGGGCTTTACAACCCTTTCCCAGGTGTAGTCGCTGCCAAGGTTGTGCCTGGTCCCGACAGCTTAAGTGTATTTTGGCCTGGGTTAGTCATTTTGTCCTGTTATATACGCACCTCCTTCCAACCCAAGTCTCAGGCATCCCCTGACCTTGCTGCTGCCAGGACACGCTTCTGTCACAAGTTCCTGTTAAACTGCACCCTGTTCCATCCTTGACTGTCTCCCTCTTCCCATCCCACAGTGGCTTGGGGCAGCCCATACATACTGGGACAGGGCTGTTCTGGAACACGGGCTCAGCCTGAGCCAGGGCCCAGCAGCTCACAGCCAGGGCAGGAGAGGACTGTCCCCATGTGGAGCTGTTCTGTGCCCGTGCCAGGAGCAAGGGCCACTCACCTCTGCCTCATCAGGGGGATGTTGATACAGTTGGCAGCAGCCACCGCTGCGAAGGGCACAAATCTGCCCACCAAGGAGGGCAGGTGCTGGGAAGGACAGGTGCAGTTCAGTGGCCCTGAGGGCCATGGGGAACAGAGGGACGCTGGGAGAAATATGGGGAGTCAGGCCAGGATGAGGATGATGGGCAAGTATTGCACAAAGAAGGGAGGGGGACTTTGGGGGCTTTACCTTGGTGAGGGACTTGAGTCCCAGAGCTGTGGCTACAGCCCCTGTGGTAGCACTCACATAGGCAGTGCCCAGCTGCCTGTGGGTGGAAGAGCCAGGTCACAAGAGAGAGATGAGCCCAGCACACAGCTCTTCAGGGACACGCAGCGCTCAAGGCAGAGAAGGCCCTCCCCACAGCTCCCACATAAACTCGTTAGCTGCTCTACTGCTTCCTTTTGAAGGGGAGTGGGTCCCCAAAGGGCTGTGGGCAGAGAGGAGGCCCACAGGCTGCAAGGAGAGCTGAGCCCCAGGCACTGGGAGCAGCCAGAGAGCGCGGGGCTGGGAGGAGCACTGCAGCTCTTCCTGGGACAGAGCCTCACCGCGTGGAGATGGGGGCGTCGCCGCTGCGGTTGGAATAGTTAACGACGGCATTGAAGGACTGATTCACCCACTGCCAGAACACCACAGTTGGGGTCTTCCTGAGGGAACAAAGGCTCAGTTCTTACTCCCAGCCCTCCACGGTCTCCCCGATCCTTGTCCCTCTATAATGAAATCCCAAAGGGCGCTACCAAACCCTCAGGAGGAACCCAGTCGACGATCCTAGAACTGCTCTGCTCACCCCTGCTCAGCCCAACACTCGATTTCTCAGGCTGAGATCTGGAGACGGAGGCTAACACAAGCACTCACCACCACTATTTAGCCAAATTGGCCCAGAGAGAAGCACACAGTCACCAAAGCATGTTCTGGCTTACAGCACGCAGCAGCAGAGCGGGAGGAAGACTTGCCTGTAGAAGGTGAGCATGCAGCCCGTGATGGTCATGTTCATGGGCACCTGGGCGGACATACGGCCAATGAGGACCACCTTCTCTCCCGTGTCCGGATGGAAGGCAGAGTCATACACATACTTGGCCCGCCACAGCTGGTCCTCAGTGAGTCCCGGGGTCACCACGCCAGCCCTGCAGAAGTTGACAAGGAACTGACAGGCTGTTCTGGCACAGATTCCCAGCTCTGTCTGCCTCACAGGGAACTGAGCAGAGGAGGAGCCCTGGCCCCTAACCTCAGAATAAAGGAATCCTTTTCTCTGGGGGACCAGTCACTAAAGGGGAACGCCAAAGCTTCCCAGAAGTGGAAGTCCTACTTCCATGTCCCTTCTAGCCACACAGTTTCTGCTGGGTCACGGTGATGGTAGTTTCCACGCCATCAAAAATGACTGGGAGGGGGGCTGGGCGTGGTGGTGTATGCCTGTAATCCCGGCACTCAGGAGGCTGAGGCAGGAGGATCGCTATGAATTCGAGACCAGCCTGGGCTACATACTGAGTTCTAGGTCAGTCTCAACTACATAGTGAGACCCTGCCTCATAAAAACAAAAACAAAAAAACAAACAAACAAATGAAAAATGACTGTGGGGAGTGTGCCTGCTTCACACATGCAAGGTCCTGAGTTTGAACCCCAGTACCAAAAACAACAAAAAAATGACTAGGTGCACTGAAGCCTTCCTCCTGATGACAAGAGGGGTGCCCTCCTAATTTTTGGCATTGACTTTCTCCACTCTTGCGGAAAGTGGACCAATAGTGGGAAAGACCCCTGTAGAGGGTCTGTGCATAGGGCAGCCCCCACCCCATCCATACCTATCAATGCCACCTCCTCAACCCAAACACCATAAATTATTCTTTGGGTTAAAGTTCTTGCCATAGTTGCCTATGATGCCAGACAGCAGGGCCAAAAAGGGAGTGGGCTGTGGAGCAGGGGCCCTCTCTAGCTTGGAGAAGCAGGTAAAAGTGTTCTAGATTATCGCAAGGAAGGAGACCGTGGGGTCCAGTGTCAGGTGGGCAGGATCACCTGTAGTTCTGCACAATGTTCCGGGAAGCTTCTAGCTGCGCCCCAGACAGCAGCAGGTTTCGGGGATCAGTAACAGTGAAGAAGTGCTGGGCTCTGCCCAGGAAAGTGCTCTGGTCCCAGCGAGGCTCCTGAATGTTGATATCTAAGGGCAATTTACCCATTTTCTGCAAGATAGGGGGGACAAGGGCCAGAGGGCTTCAAGGACGAGACCAAAGCCTTCACTGTGGGAAGGCTGATGGCCCTGCCTTGTCCCTGAGCCTGTCACCAATCCCTTCAAGAGCTCGAGGTGACTGCAGACAGGTGAGCAAGGTGGAGGAGTCCTTTTATAGGCAATGTCCTGGCCAGGGACCTACAGCCACTGGTGGAGGGGAGGGGAAGATCAGAGCCAGGAAAACATCTCCCTGTGCTCTGGCCTGGTGCAGACTTTCATGATGGGATTTAACTGTGTGTGACTTATGCATGCATGAGCAACTAATCCTATGTAGCTACTTGTGAGCTCTGTATGCACAAAGACATATATAATCACACACCCATCCCTGCGTCAGCTGCAGCCTACAGCTGCCCTGAGCCTTCGATGAGAACCCCGCAGGCTGCCTGGCAAAAGGATCACACACCCCAACCCTGACTGGAGCAGAGCAAGGGCTCCATGGCCCGCGTACCTCCATGAGCAGAAGTCAGTCCAGTGTGCATCAGGCATACACACGGCCCTTTTCCAGACCCCTCCAGCAACCTCACCGAGGATCCAAGTCTCTCCCTGTCCCCTGGCCGTGTGGGCTGGCAGAGATGCCCACCTACCTCCAAAACGAGCAGGGTTCAGTGTTCGCGTCCTCCACCCAGAACACAGAGGAAAGCCCGGAGCAGCCATCTGGCCATGCTACGCAAAATCCTGCAGAATGACTAATCCCCTCCACCTCACTTCCTCCCTCACAAGCAGAAAAACATTCACATCCACGCACAAAGCCTGACACAGCCCTCCAAACATGCCACACCCTGTACACGCCAGCCACAAAGACCTATACTTACTAACACACACACACACACACACACACACACACACGT